AATAAACAAAACAGCGTATGTAACAGTATTATTGTACGTTTAATTTTCATACGTAAGACTATAGATATAGACAATATAAATAGAGTGCTCTTTGCTTGTAAATAATTTCAACGGTTTGCAATTCCGGGAAGCGATAGTCACATTGAATTTAAGTAAAATAATTTAGTTTGTTTTAGTTCATCGTTGTACTTGTTTATAATTTTGAATACTATCTTGTAAAAATTTACATTTATATGTTATTTTGGTGTTTTATGTACATTTAGTGTAACGTTTCTTTGTTATTATATTATATATATATATATATATATATATATATATATATATATAATTAGTGTGGATTGTACAAGTTTAAATAAACTGTGAATATCAATAATCATTGTATATACAATCAAATTGACTTGTAAATACCCCTGCATTAATAATTTTATGAAAATCTTAGTTTCATAGTAAATACAAAACAATCATAAATACATTTAATGCAGTCAGTTCTAGGCCTGAATAAAGTATGAAGGGATGTTAATTTATTGATTTAACTGTATAGCTAAAAACACTTAGATAGTGATTAAATTTATTTTCGTTTCGTGTGTAACTGTATAGTTCTTGGTGGTATGCAAAGGTAGTGGCAAACAATCACAGTAGCCAAATAAAAATAGCCAGTTACAAAAATCACTAGTTTTGAAACAGGTGACGCAGACCAAGTCACTGGTTTCGTTACGTTTCTTGAAAATGACGTAACGACCCACGTCTAGTAATAACTGGAGTTAGCGTAAAAGGACTCACCAGGCGTCGCACTGTACAGTGCGAGCAGGACAGCGGAGGCGCGGAGCGAGAGAGCACTACCGTACGGGGACGGATGTGCGGACTACCTGGACACGACCGCTCGAGAGCGGTGCCACAGGCGGAATGCCATGCACGCCTCATGAGAAAATAAAAATAGTGACAATTGGTGACAATAGTTTATACAAGAAAAAAAAAACAGAGAATCTGATCGACTTAGCACCGTAGCTCTTAAACGGATGAACCAATTTGGGTGCGGTTTTTTTTTTCATTTAAATGCAGGTGTTCTAGCGGTGGTTCTTAGACACGTTTTATCAAAAATCGGTTCATTCGTTTCAAGGTCATCAGCTGTTTTTGTTTCGCGGGATTTTAAAATTTTAAATTTAAGTTATATTATTTTCAGTTATTGAAGCTATTGACATTATTTCAATGATTTAACACGTTTGGGTGAGGTAAGAAATATCACAAATTCAAGGTAAGAACTGATACGCCACCTAAATGGGTATATTAAAAACTTTATACCCTATTTTCTGCCGACTTCCAAAAAGGAGACGGTACTGAATTCGACTGTATGTTTTTTTTTATGTGTGTTACCTCATAACTTTGTACTGGTTGAACTGATTTCGATGATTCTTTTTTTATATGGTAGCTGATACTATATTAATAACTTAAATTGAAGTCGGCTGTACAAAATTTTTAATTTTTAATTATTTACACTCGGGTGTGGAATATTTTATTCAAATTTAAATTGGACCACCACTGAAGTATAATCTGTTTAGTAAAAAAAAATTTTTTTGAATCGCAATCTATGCGCTGTAATGATCTTGATAGTGCGATAATGTGTATTGTCTAAAAATTGTATAATTTAAAATTAATAATTTTGTACAGCCGACTTCAATATAAGCGACTTCAATATAAGTTATTTAAGAATAACTCAATAACCATTGGTCTGACCTTGATCAAATTCATATGGGACCACACGAGAACTATCAGCTTTCATATAAAAAAAGAATCATCGAAATCGGTTCCCCCAGTACAAAGTTATGAGGTAACACACATTAAAAAAAAACAACTCGAATTGAGTACCGTCTCCGTTTTGGAAGTCGGCAGATAAAAGGTACGTGTATTTACAACATAAACTCCCCAAATACAATGAGGGCATCCAAGACTTTTTCTGCCACCAGGGCAGCGACACTAGAAATTGAGGTATAATATTTGACAGATTTCATAGTGGGGAAGTGATACGTTTGTGAATGCAATGAAACAACCGCTGTCTTGTAACACTCGTTTATTACTGGTTGGATGACCGTAGTACGGTACACGTATATATCATTCCTCCCCACTTAATTTTGGAACCTGGTAACAAGGTTTCTTAATTAAATACAGTAAATTTTTTTCTACATAAACTTAACAACTAATAATAACTATTAACAATAATTAGCAAACTTGATCTCTGCGTAACTATAATTAACAATCGCTACTTAAAAATACTTTTTATAATCCACCCTTGGTCTTATACGTTTCGGGCGTGTGGCTAAAAGTGGCAATGTTGGCGGTACATGGGAATCGCCAACTGTGGACGGCACAGCCTCCGTTTCTGCCATAGGCCTTTCTACGGGGGCAATGTCGTCCCTCTCATACTCCCTAGTCTCACAGTCACTTACTTCTTCTGCCTCACCGTGGTCAGATGAGCCAAGATTCGGCGCTCCAGTATTCGAGGGCGATTGCAGCTCACCCGTCTGCATATTCGTAGCCTGTTCCATACTTTGCTCCGTATTACTTATACCCGGAAACATAGGCTGTTGCGCGGGAGGGTGTGCATTTTACCGTAGCCGGCGACGTGGAGGGGCAACGAGTCTCCTCAGCAGCGACAATATCGTCGCGACTACTGTCTGAACCCGTATATCTAATAATTTGATCCACATGTCTAATACACCAAACCTCCATGTCCCTAATATGAATTCTATACATTTTATTTCCTATTTTCTCCTTTATTCTACCTAACTGCCAAGATTCTTTTCGTGCACTGTACCATCGGGTCCAAACGATATCACCGATTTCAAAAGATCTTTTCCCTGCTGCCGTAAGTGAATTAGAATTATGATTTTTTAAGGGTAAAATCAAATCAAGACGCGACCGCAAATTTCTGCCGAACATTAGCTTTTTTTCTATAGTTAAATAGGTACCCTAATAACATGTCCTGAACTTTGTGCAACGGTAAATTGTCAATTAATATACATTTTAACATTTTTTTACATGTTCTTACTGAATTCTCAGCTTGACCGTTACTTGGCGGATGGTAAATGGGTGACGTCATGTATTTTATGCCATTCGATGAACAAAATGTCTGAAACTCGAGTGAATTAATTTTTACATCGTTGTCGGACACTAAAACATTTGGTATTCCAAAATTAGAGAAAACGCCTTTTAATTTTGTTATTAAAGCATTAGATGAGGTTCCGTTATGCATGTATAGACATTCTATCCATTTACTGTAGGAGTCGACGATTACCAGATATACCCTCTGCCCTACAGTCATGTAATCAATGTGCACTCGTTGCCATGGCGCGGTGGAGGGAGGCCAGGGCGCGGGGGGGTCGCGCGTCGGGGCGGCCCGCACGCTTGCGCACGTCGCACATGATCCGATCCAGCGTTCGATGTCCCGGTCAATACCGGGCCACCACATTTTACTTCTAGCGTTACATTTAGTTTTGGTTATTCCTAAATGAGAGTCATGAAGCTCGCGTAACATTCTATCTCTCAACCCGAGTGGTATAACAATCCTATGTCCCCTAAAAAGACAACCATTCTCATATTGTAAATCGGACTTGCAATGAAAATAAGGTAAAATAGATTTACATTTTAATTTACGCGGCCACCCGTGTTGCATGTACCTAAGCACGGTTTTAATCGTCCTATCTCGCTCCGTCGTCTGCGCAACGTCGCAGGCCGAAGTGGCCGGCGATGACGCATCGAGAAACCTAACTGCATAATGAGTGTCTATATCGTTTGTATCTATATCGTTCGACGACTCGTTGACGCATTTTACAGGAGCGCGTGAGAAGTAATCGGCCACAATATTATTTCCGCTAGATACATATTGTACGACATAGTTATAAGCGGACAATATAACTGAGTATCGCTGCAGTCTTAGCGCAGTAGTAACAGGAATACCTGTTTTAGGATTAAAAATTGATACCAATGGTCTGTGGTCGGTTTTCAGGATAAAAGGATCTTCGCGACCATACAAATATTGATGAAAGCGTCGGACCCCGAAAATAATGGCCGTCGCTTCCTTCTGTATCTGGCTATAGTTTCTTTCACTGCTCGTAAGTGAGCGAGATGCATACGCTAGCGGGCGTTCGATGCCGTCCTCCGCCCTTTGTGAGAGTACGGCGCCGAGACCGGTCGGGCCGGCGTCCACCGCCAGCACCAGCTGCGCCGCTGGCTCGAAATGAGCCAACACGCGTTCTGACGCCAGTTCGCGCCGTATCGCTGTGACGCTTTGTCGCTGCCGTTTTCCCCATTCCCATTTTGCATCTTTACGTAATAGCTCATGTAGAGGACTCAGTACAGAAGAGGCGTTTGGAATAAAATTTCTATAGTAGTTGACTACTCCTAGAAATCTTTTAACTTCGGTGACGTTATTTGGTTCCGGTGCACTAAGAATGGCTCGTACTTTATCCGGACAAGTCCTTAATCCCGTTTTACTAATCACGTAACCCAAATACCTGACGCTTTCTCTGAAAAATTGACATTTGTCTTTTTGTAAACGTAGGCCTGCCTTACATAGTCTATCTAGGACTTTACTTAGCCGCTGCATGTGGGAATTTCTATCGAGGCCCGTGACACAAATGTCATCAAGCCATATGCTTACCCCGTCTATTCCTGATAAGAGTGTCTCCATGCTCCTTTGAAAAATGGCTGGACCACTAGAAAGGCCGTACACTAACCTAGTGTATTTAAAAAGTCCTTTATGCGTATTAATTGCCGTGAGCTCCTGAGACGCGTCATCTAGGACGAACTGGTTGTAAGCGTTTTTCAAATCAATTTTACTATAGTGCTTACCCCCTCCAATTTTGGCAAAAACCTCTTCAATTCGAGGCAGGGGATATTTTTCTATTATGAGATCCTTATTTAATGTAATAGAAAAATCACCTGCGATTTTAACTTGGCCATTATCTTTTAAAACTGGCACAATGGGGGTGGCGTATTGAGAATAATTAATAAGAACAAGGATACCCAAGTGCACTAATCGGTTTAGCTCTTGTTCGACTTTCTCTGAGGGCAAAGGGTACAGTACGCGGCTTAAAAAACTTAGGCACAGCATTCGCCTTCAACTGCAAACTGACTTTAAAGTTATTAAATGCGCCCAACTCGTCACGCCACAACGCCGAATATTTATATAATAACTCATGCAATTCGGAATCATTTCTTATGTAATTTAATTTAGTAGTAATCACAAAATTAAAGGCGGTCATGAAATCCCTACCTAGTATAGGCGGTCCCCCATTTTTGACAACAAAATATTTAATCAATTTGGTACTGTTATTGTAACTGGTTTCTACAGTAATATAACCTAATGGATCAATCTTGTGTCCGTTGTATAAGCACATTTTTACAGAACTACTAGGTAATGAATATTTTAAGAATTTTTCCTTATATGTATTATAAGAAATCACACTTTTACTTGATCCTGAATCCAGCTCCATTGTCATACACTGATTACCTATTATTACATCAATTGAAATGGGCTTATCAGTCACATACCTCAAATTAAAATTGTGGCACTCCTCACAAGACGAATCCTTGACCTGCTCTGGTTCGCTTACCGACTCGATATGGTACATCCGCGATCTATTGACACTATCGCACACTTTCTTTAAATGACCTTTTTCACCGCACTTTTGACATTTGTAACTTTTATAACGGCACTTATCACTTTGGTGGTTCTTCAAGCCACAAACCGAACAACGAGAAAAATCTCTCGGTTGGTCGCGACCTGCTGATGTCCTGCCAGCATTAGGACGCCGTATAACCGCGCCGCTGTCTCCTTGACCTTGAAATTTCGCTCGGTATACCGGTTCCTCCTTAATTGGAGCATGTTCGCTGGTGCACAACATAACCTTCGCCTGCCTGGCATACGCCGCCTGCTCGGCTAGCTCCATAGCTACTGACAGTGTCAATGTGGACGGGTCATGTTCGAACAACTTATCTTGTTCCGGGCCAGGGCCCAGGCCGAGGACGAAACGATCTCTTAAATTCGTTTCCAAGGCAGTGCCGAAGTCACAATTGCTTGCGAGACCTCTCAATCGCGCTGCCCAGTCTCCCAATGATTCGCCTGGATTTCTGGTTGCCCCAAAAAATTTTTCTTTATCCACAAATGAGCATTTTTTTGGCTTGAAATGACCGTCGAGTAATTTAGCGAGATTCGAGTAACTTAGAGATTCTAAGTCTTGCGGGTACGCTAAGTTTCGTACCAAGCGATACGTTTCATCCGTAAGATGGGTGAGAAGAATTCCACTTTTGTTCACTTCTTCGACGCGATTTATCTTCGCAAACTGAGTTAGTCTGCTTTTGAAAATTGACCATTCACTTGACTTATGGTCAAAAATAGGCAGATTTCCCAGATAAGCCATTTTTATTTTTATTGTGGGTACTCCTACTTCGTCGCCAATGATACGTTTGTGAATGCAATGAAACAACCGCTGTCTTGTAACACTCGTTTATTACTGGTTGGATGACCGTCATCATCATTATCATCATTACAGCCCTTCACAAGTCCACTGCTAAACATAGGCCTCCCCCAAAGAATGCCACAAAGCACGGTTCTGAGCCACCTGCATCCATCGACTTCCTGCATGTCTGACCAGGTCGTCACTCCATCTCGTGAGGGGACGCCCTATACTTCGCCTACCGGTACGAGGCTGCCACTCGAGAACCTTTCTTCCCCATCGGTTGTCGGTTCTTCGAGCTATATGGCCGGCCCACTGCCACTTCAGCTTACTAATCCGTTGGGCTATGTCGGTTACTCTGGTTCTACTGCGGATATACTCATTCCTAAGTTTATCACGCAGAGAAACTCCGAGCATAGCCCTCTCCATAGCTCGCTGAGCGACCTTGAGCTTTCTCATACGGCCAGCAGTGAAGGACCACGTCTCAGTTCCGTAAGTCATCACTGGCAACACGCACTGGTTGTACAATTTCGTTTTCAGGTTTTGAGGTATGTCTGACGAGAAGATGTGTCGTAGCTTGCCGAACGCTGCCCAGCCGAGTTGAATCCGTCGATTGACCTCTCGATCGAAATTGGACTTACCTAATCGGACTATTTGTCCCAGGTAAACATACTCGTCAACAACTTCGAGCTTAGTGCTCCCAACAACTACCTGCATAGGTGTGACATGGACATTGAACATGATCTTTGTTTTGTCCATGTTCATCTTAAGACCTATCCGTTGGGAAACACTATCGAGGTCATTGAGCATAGTGCTTAGGTCCTCCAGCGATTCTGCCATAAGGACTATATCGTCGGCAAATCGAAGGTGAGTGATGTACTCGCCATTGATGTTGATACCGTATCCTTTCCAGTACAGAAGCTTGAAAACGTCTTCCAATGCAGCGGTGAAGAGTTTCGGGGATATGACGTCACCCTGTCTTACACCTCTCTGCAATTGGATAGGTTTCGTACTCTGATTCTGTACTCGGATAGCCATCGTAGCCCTACTGTACAAGCACTTCAACACTTCGATATACCGACAGTCAACTTGGCACCGCTGAAGGGACTGCAGCACCGCCCAAATTTCGACGGAATCAAAGGCTTTCTCATAGTCCACATACGCCAGACATAGTGGCAAATTGTACTCTTCGGACTTCTGTACAATTTGCCGAAGGGTATGTATGTGGTCTATGGTGCTAAAGCCCTTTCGGAAACCGGCTTGTTCGGGAGGCTGGAAGTCGTCAAGTCTGCGCGCGAGACGATTCGTAATGACTCTCGAAAACAGCACGTAGACGCGGCTCAGTAGGGAAATCGGTCTGTAGTTCTTCAAGAGAGCGTTGTCACCTTTCTTGAAGAACAAGACCACCGCACTTCTGCTCCACGCCTCCGGTGTAATGCCACCATGGAGGACGGAATTAAAGAGCTTCTGAAGGACTTCAAGTACCGGTCTTCCACCCGCTTTCAGAAGCTCCGCTGTAATTCCATCCTCGCCTGGGGCCTTACCGTTTTTAAGGTGCTGGAGAGCCATTCTAATCTCGCTCAGACTGACGTCCGGGATATCTTCGGAATAGTGTCGGATGAGACTCGCTCTTGGATCGTTACTCACACTTGCGTGTGGCTCCAACGATGACGTGTACAGCTGCCCATAGAACCTCTCAATCTCACTCAAAATCTCAGGTATCCCGGAAACGATGCTGCCACATTCTGTCTTCAGCTTTGACAGTTGGCTCTTTCTGGCAGACAGATCTCTGGCAAAGACTTTGGAGCCTTGGTTCCGCTCGATCGCTTCTTCAATACGAGCTGTATTGAAGTTGCGTAAGTCCCGCCGCATGCATTTGGAGATCTGTCTGTTCAGATGCCTGTATGCTGTCAAGTCTGTTGAAGAATGTAGCTTCATCTCCCGTCTAACAGCCATGAGATTAAGAGTGTGATCGGAGAGTTTTTGTGTTCTTCTGCGGTGGGTCTTGCAGAACTTAGCTCCGACCGCATGGACAGTTTCCACGAGCTTGTCATTCATATCGTCCACTTCATTGCAGTCTTCTAGGCACTGAAAACGGTTTTGTAACTCGAGCTGAAAGGTTTCGGGACTTTGGAACAGAGCACGAGGGGGACGGAGCGTTGACTTCATTAGACGAGACCTCTCCAACTTAACGTTTAGGTTCAGTGTGCCTCTAACCATTCGGTGATCGCTACCAGTTTTCACCCTCGCGATCACGGAGACATCACTGAACAGTTGTCGTCTGGTCGTCATAATGAAGTCAATCTCATTTTTTGTCGAACCGTCGGGGCTCGACCAGGTCCACTTCCTGTGGGGCCGCTTCTGGAAGAAAGAGTTCATCATAAAGAGTCCCTCTTTCTCCATGAAGTCGGCCAGCTGCTGGCCCCTTGGGTTCCGATGCCCTATTCCAAATTTCCCTACTTTCAGCTCACCGTTCTCTCTTGTGCCTAGTTTTGCATTGAAGTCTCCCATCAACACCGTATATTGGGTTTTGGAGGAATGCATGGCTCTGGAGATATCCTCATACATTTCCTCCACCACCCCATCGGGGTGTGCCGAGGTTGGTGCGTAAACCTGTATGACCTTCAGCGAATACCGTTTGGTGATTCTGAGTATAAGGTACGCAACCCTCGTCGACACACTCCCGATCTTTACAACGTTGTTGACGAGAGACTTGTGGACGATAAATCCGACACCTCCTTGGGACAGATGGTCGCCCTCCCGGTGATAGAGCAAGTTGCCGGATTCGAGGATTACCGTGTCCTCCCCCTCTCTTCGGACTTCGGATAATCCTATAATATGCCAGCGCAACTTGTCTATCTCTTCTTCCAGCTCCACGATCTTCTCGTCAGTCCTCAGGGTGAGTTGTACGTTGCCAGGTCGAGTCGTCTAAGGTGGCAACTGAACCTCCACCGGAGATTCTTAGCACCCCCTGCCCCGCCGTTACCATGGTCGCCACCGTAGCCAGGAATAGCGGGGCCGCCGGGGACTGGGGGCCGTCTCTTTGTTACATTCATAGGGGGGTATTTGCCATAGTTGCCACGCTTGGCGAGCGGGTTGGCAACCGCAGTTTTTTTATTATAATTTTGGCTATTATCAGGAAGATGCTGCTGCCCATCTCCTGCCTGTTTCCCTTTGTCGCCTTTTACGACACCCACGGGAGGATATGGGGTAGTGGATATTCTTGACCGCCACTACACGGCAATGACCGTACTACACACGTATATATATCAGGAAGTTAATTTGTTTGGAAAATGTAAAGGTTATTCTTTCTTTCTGTACTATTAGCTATATTTTATACTAGCTGTTTCTCGCGACTTCGCCCGCATGTTATTTAGTGTTTTTTTTTGCGCGGAATCCTGATTCTTCTTTTAAAATAAAAGTAGTCTAAGTTACTCCTTATGACATCAGCTATCTGCTAGTGAAAGTCCCATCAAAATCGGTCCAGCCGTTTCGGAGATTAGCCGGAACAAACAGACAGACAGACAAAAATTTAAAAAATTGTGTTTTTGTTGTAAGTACCGTAAACAGGGTAATTTTTAATTTACTGAAGACCTTTTGGGAATATATTATTTACATCATAACAACAACATCTGTAAGAAAAAAAAATATATTTCTTCAATTTTTATTTTCATACAAAAATAAAATATTTTAATTGGACCTTCTAAACGGCAATAGTCCTAAATAGCAAAATAAAGCGCGTGGCGGGGTAGGGTGGAGGGGTGTAGGAGGCGGCGCTTGCTCATTTGAACTTGACCTAATTACCTATATCAGTCGCCTTTGGTGCGCCCGCGACATTTCTCCTTCCGTTGTGAGATTAATATCGCGAACGTTACGTGGTTACGATGGCTCACCGATACTCAAATGTTGAGTATACCGAAATGGTGCGAATTTTAGCAATTTGCAATGATAACGTTAGTGAAGCCTGCCGTGAATATTCAAGGCGATTTCCCAACTCACGTGCACCGAGCTACGCTACGATGCTAGGTACTACACAGCGATTGCGAGATTACGGGCAATTCCAGCCTGTATCAATCGATCGTGGTCGTCCACCGCAGCGCATAGTACGTGAGGAGGAAGACATACTGCAGTTTTTTGAACAAAATCCAGCAGCGAGCACTTATGAGGCAGCCCGACAGTTCAATGTGTCACAGTACTACGCATGGAGTGTCATACACAATGAAGGGAAGTACCCTTTCCACTTGCATCGTGTTCATGAACTCAGCAAAGCTGACAAACCAGCGCGAGTTACATTTTGTAACTGGTGACTAGCTGCTGAACGAGCTAACATTTTATGGACTGATGAAGCAACGATGAAGAAATTTGGCAGAATAGGACTATTTAATTCGCACATAGAACACTTGTGGTGCTATGAAAATGCACATGAACCAAGACCACATAGCTTTCAAAACCGTTTTGGTGTCGATGTGTGGGCAGGCGTTATTAATACAACGTTACTGGGCCCGGTCTTCATAGAAAGATTAAACGGTGAAAGCTATCATAGTTTTCTCACCGACACGCTGCCAGAGTTGTTAGAGGACATACCACTTGCATCTCTACGCAATATGTATTACCAACATGACGGGGCGCTGGCGCACTTTGCTCGCCAAGTTAACCACATGTTGAAAGAAAAAATAATTTGGGCATTCGATCAAATCAAAATGAATCATCAAGTATTATCTCGTGTCAGTAAACAGTTAAGTAATAGGTGTCACCTATGCATAGAATGTGGAGGTGATTATTTTGAACGCTATGTGCGCGATACTCACCTCCATCCGCGGACAAGTACCTAGGTAAGTCTAATTTTTAAATTTGTATTTTAATATTTTTATTGAACCATTATACCTTAATATCTTTATTCAATTACTGTTAATTTGTATTTAATCATTATAAATATTTTATTGTAATATTTGTAATTATTTTAACCTGCATCCATTTTTTAAATACAACTTACATTAAATAAAAAAAATAGTTAATAATACTCATTTAATTTGCACGTGCTACAAACATCGATCACCAAATCGATGGCTGCAAACCAAAAAGGGCAGGCGGCGCCTTTGATGACGATGACACCTGTGTCGACGTCATAATATACCTTTGGCTTGGCCTTGGGCCGCCGCATGTGCGACGTTGAGGCGTTGCTACCAGCAAACAGTATTCGTAAAAAAAACTAGCTAAATGTCTATTAAACAATGTCTATTAATTCTTAAAGAAATTAATAAAAGAATCAAATAGTTCATCAAATGGTTTTATGCAAAATAAAGAAGTACCTATATGAAAGTTAATGTAGTCATTTAACCCTCAGTTAACCTAGTGCCTAAATATACTTTAATTTATCTGGTGGAGTCCGAGGGACTTCAATTTAAGAAATTGTTGATAAATTTAAAGTGAAACGACATTTTATGTTCAAAATCATTTATTTAACTAAAAAACATTATCTTCTCTTACTTTTATATAAAACTTTGGTATTAATTATCATATGAACATTTTAGCATTCGAAAAATAAACTACCCTTGAAATTAAATTAACAAAAATTTGCTTCAACTTGTAGCTACTATAACAATTTTAATATAAGGAATATTAATTTTTTTACTTAGAAGATACTTAAACAATCTAATTAACTTATGAAAATAGACTAAAAAAGAATACTGTTTTATATAAAAATAAAAAACGTGCAACACTTAATCTTTAGCTGTCGCAACACAATGAGTGCAAATCTTCTTCGTACATGCCAAACATACTGGCTTCATACAGGTATGGCACAAAAATGAAGTCTTTCTTTTCAGGCGTTTAGGACATATATGGCAGTATTTTCTTTGGTTTCTAGGCAATTTGTCATCTAAAACTTGTTGTTCTTCTACAAGAGGTACCTTTGTGATGTCAGATATCAACTCGCGTAGCTGACGAGGAAGTCTTTCGTTGTATTGCCGTGATTTCAAATTCATGTCATTTAGTTGCTCAGCCAATCCTTTTATGTAATTTAGACGTGTCATTTTGCTGATACCTGCTTGGCTTTTGTGAATAACATAGCTGTTCCACGCACTCATGTCCAATATGCGGAAAAAAACTGCCATTGGCCAACGTCGTGTACGTCGACTGCATGAATATACAGAGCATTTTTGGTCCACCGAATCTACGCCACTTTTTGTGTCATTATAATATTCAATAATTTCAGGCTTTAGAGATTCTGGATTAATTTTAGAATCGTGATGCATCGTAGAGTACAATATTACTGCTTTGTTTTTTTTAGGCACAAAACGGACTAAAGTGCAATCTTTCGTAAATCCAAACAGTGAACTATTCAGCTCTTTGTTCTTCGCAGGTAAAAACTCTTTTGGAATGACAGCTTTGTTTTTTTTCAAAGTACCTACTGTAGTCAATCCTTTATTTTTAAGTTTTTGTGAAAGTTCTATTGACGAATACCAATTGTCTGTTGTTATATTTCTGTTGGTGTTAAATATTGACTTACACAGTCTAAGTACTGCTTGAGTTGGAACAGGCTTTTTCTTATCTTCTTCTGATAATGTGTAAGAGTCAGATCCTTTTCCTGTATATATGTAAGTGTTATATACGTAGAATGTTGCAGAATCAGCTAGACATTGTACCTTCACTCCATATTTGGCTGGCTTACTGGGGATATACATTTTAAACCTACACCTTCCACGAAAAGCCAGCAGCATCTCGTCAACAGTAACATTAGCACCTGGGACATACCTTGCTTGTGAGTTTTTATTGAACATTTCAAGAAATTCAGTAACAGCACAGCCTGGATCTATTATTTTTCGAGCTTCTCTGTCAGTGAAATTGTCAAATCTGAGAACTAGAAGTAGTATAAGGAAACGTTTTTTAGACATAGAAACCCGAAATATAGGTCTCCCTGTTCCGTCAGTTGCAAACAACGACAATACACTTTCATGATTGGACTTAAATGCTGCACTATATAGTAGCAGAGAGAGAAAACCTTTCAGTTCTATTTGGCTCGTCTCCTTAAAAGCGTATTGCTCCTTTGGTGAAATGGTCTCACGAACTATTTCCAATTTTTTATTAGTCCACTCTAAAATCGTTTCTATCATTTGATTATCAAAAATAAGCTGAAATGCATCCAAAGGAGAAATCGGACCATTCTCTGTAACTAAATCATTTTGGTTTGAAGGTAAACGAAGAATATTGTGAGACTGTGTGCGGATGTTTCTTGACGGGGGTTCGCTTGACCATTTGAATCGGTTTTTTCCGTAATAATATTTAGTGCTCTCACCTGAGGTCAACACATCTTCATCATCTGAGTCAACTGAATACTCTGAGTCCGAGTCGTGATCAGAAGGTATACAGTCATCTTCAGAGTCGGATAATAGTTCTTCTATCACAGCTCGAGATGGTTCAAGTGATTGAGATTCATCGTCGGTACAATCTTCGTCATTTAGCCAGTCGAGTAGAATAGATTCAGCATTTGGTTGATCTACGCTAACTACTTGTCTATTCGAAGCCATTTTTCAGTCTAAAACAAATATAATAATAAGTGATATCGAAAAAAAAGTTACACAAATGCCCTGGTGGAGTCCGGCGGACTCTACTAGCTTAAAAACTCACCGATGGATGAAGCGCAGACGCACGTCCTCTCTCCCCTGCGCGTCGCACGCTACTGTATGAAGGTACTGTGACGCACAAGCCTTTGAGTGCCAAAACAAAGAAATCACAACACTTTGAAAATCGCGTGGAGTCCCTGGGACCTAACAGATCAATTAAGGGTTAAAGTGGCGCCCTGGTGCAATAGGCACAGTGATGAATGGTTTAGTAGGCACTCGCAACCCAATCAGCTGAGCGCGGGCGTCGACCGGCCCGGCGGTCATACTTACATAATATAAATTTTAATATTTGTGATTTTTTTTTGAATGTCATTTGCTCATTTAATTATGTTTAATGTTTCAACACAATGTTTGATACTGATATCAAGTGTAAAATAAATAAGGCATTTTCTTTCACGATTTATTCTGACATTGTTTAGGTACTACAAAATACAGACTTAAAATGAGTCAGACATGACAACAAAACCTTAAAAGTAGTTTTTTCGTAAATGTATTATATTCTGTGAAGAGTGATCTCGCTAAAATTGTTTGTAATGATGTAACCAATATATTCCCAAAAGGTCTTTAGTAAATTAAAAATGACCCTGTATACTTTCATATGCATTTAGTAAAAACCTGTTATTTTGGCATTACAAACAGACACTTCAATTTTATTTATTTGTATAGATTAATAAGATTAAAAATAAATAAACCAAACCACAGATATTCATAAAAGTAGAAATATTAAGAAAAAGTTAATAATGTGACACTGACGCATTGTTTTGTGTATTAATACAGAGTGGGCCATATGAGTGTTGGCGATTTAATTCTTCAATTTCTCGGAAACGCGTGGCGCGGGGTGGTGGGGGGATATGTTGTTAGCTGCGCCGCTTCCTGCAAATTTAGTCGCCAATCGCCATGGAGCCGTACACGGGAGTGCAGCGTGCATTTTGTGTCCGAGCGTATTACGAAAACAATAAATCATTGATTACTGCACGACGTTTGTATCGACATGAACACGGTTTACGCCATTTAATTGAAGTTCCAAGCGCCAATGTGATACGGAAATGGATCAGAATGTTCGAAACAACCGGCTCGATAGTACCAATTACGGCTCGTGGTCGCCCAGTTCCTGCAAGATCAGCCGAAATTGTGGAGCGTGTTCGTGTTTCAGTTCGGCGAAATCCGCAAAAGTCAACACGTAAGAGAAGTCAGTCTTTGGACATCAAAAGAACGACTTTGCGACGAATTTTGAAGCGTGATTTGCATTTGAAGGCTTATAAGATTCAGATAGTCCAAGAATTAAAACCAGATGAAGCCAATAACCGACTTAACTTTGTCAATTTGATGCTCGAGCGGTTCAACAATTTTGACAACGTGATGTTTAGTGATGAGGCCAATTTTCACCTTAATGGCCATGTGAATAAGCAAAATTGTCGGTTCTGCTCCGAGACTAATCCCCGACGCTTGCATAAACGTCCACTTCACAGCCCTAAGCTTGTCGTGTGGGCTGGGATAATAACGTCAACCGGTATTATTGGGCCATACTTTTTTGAGAACGAAAGAGGGCAAGCGATGACTGTTAGAGCTAACAATTATTGTAATATGTTAACAGACTTTTTGGTGCCAGCTTTGCAAGAACTTCAAGGCAATACCTCAAGGATGTGGTTTCAACAGGATGGGGCCACATGTCATACGGCTAGGGTATCCATAGAGCTGCTGAAAAATGTTTTTCCCGGAAAGCTCATTTCGAAAAGGGGGGATATTGAATGGCCACCACGTAGCCCCGATCTCTCTCCATGCGATTATTTTCTATGGGGCTACCTCAAATTGGTGGTCTACGAGAATAATCCGACCAATTTAGAGCAGCTGAAGAAGAATATTATTCAGGAAAGTAACAAAATACTGAGAACAACTTTTCAACGAGTTTTCCAAAATTTTTTCGGTTTCAAGAGTGCCAAGCAGCCGAGGGAAGTCATTTGGACAACATTATTTTTAGATCTTAAAAATTCCTATGTTTCTACTTTTTTAAAATACAAATATATTTTTGTTATGTTTCGTAGTTCTTTTTTAATTGAATATTGAAACCGCCAACATCCTTATGGCCCATTCTGTATAATACTCTAGAAACGAATAAAATTTTATTAAAAAAACAACTTTTCAATTAAATTATATTGTGTAACAAAACCTTTACCTCAGTGTCAACTAGCGACATCTGGTGAGCAGAAAATTATTAGCCCTCATTGGGATAGAATTTTTTTCCCAAATAAGGGATCACCCTCGTCAAAAACAAAAAAAACATAAACTCGAATTGCGAACCTCCTCCTTTCTGAAGTCGGTTAAAAACTCTGTAACAAGATAGATTTGTCAAGCCGCATTTATAAAGTTTAATTACCAACAAAACGTATAATCTACGGATATGCTGAAAATATATCATACACAGTGGACAAGGATGAGTTGTTTTTTTTTTTATATTGAATAAGGGTGACAAACGAGCATTCAGTCCACATTCCTACCAGTTTCCGAAAAAACCGATTAACATACCAAAAAAACTTGTAAAGTATTCTATTTGTAGAGAGTTTTTTTTTATACAATCAACCTTTTATCAGTGGTAGAGCCACGCGGCAGCTTTTGCTGTCGCACGGATGGGCCGGCTCGAACCGGGGTGGTACCACGACCTCACAGAAAACCAGCGTGAAGTAGAGGTTTACCTCTACGTTTCGCTTGGTGAGTGCAGGTGGCCGGAGGCCCTTTTTACTGGAAATGAGGCATTCCATCTTAGTCCTCACGGGTGACAACGCATCTACATTTTGATTTGTAATGGAGGATAGATGTAGAAGTCTATGGGCCGCAGCAACCACTTACTATCAGGTGGACTGTGTGCTCGTTTGTCACCCTTATCCTATAAAAAAAAAAAAAAACCTAACCGAGACATATTTTATACGAGTTAGAGCCATGTTGCAGCTATATTAATTGTATAGTTGTAGCACGAATGGGTCGGCTAGACCGGGGAAGGACCACGCTCTCACAGAATACCAGCGTAAAATGGCAGCTTGATACTGCTGTGTTTCGTATGGTGAGTGTAAACAATCACTTACCATCAGGTGGACTGTGTGCTCGTTTGTCACCCTATCCCATAAAAAAAAATATTGCGTTATCCCTTTTTGGACGAGGAAAACCTTATCATTTATTAAATAGTTAATAAATATCACATTGTTTGATATTAAACGTTACATTGTTTGCAATGCGTGTCGGCGGACTTCAGAAAATGTCTTCGACATTGTTTTTTTTAAATTTCTCAGACATGCAGGTTCCTCGCGATGTTTTCCTACACCGCCGAGCTCGTGGTAAATCAGCACTTAAAATTGAAATTAGGGGGGGAACCCTGGTTGTTCGCATAATGTAAGATTAAGACGCGTAGTCCCTGAGCTACGTATATACGTGGTAGAGTCACGCAGCAGCTATTATGGTTGAAGCACGAATGGGTCGGCTCGATCGGGGAAGGACCACGCTCTCAACGAATACCAACGTAAAAAAGCAGCTTTAACGCTGCTGTTTCGTATGGTGAGTGTAGAGAACTGTAGACTCTTTTTTATTGAAAACGAGGCATGCCATCTTGCTCCTTAGGCGTGAAAACTTATTTACATTTTGATTTCTTATCGAAAATAGAAATGTAGATGTGTCTATGGGCCACGGCATCCACTTACCATCAGGTGGACCATGGTATTGTCGAATTCACGTTGAGATCTAATTTTTCGGAGAATTTCTTTATTAAATCAGTAGTTGTTTTAAGTGTATTAGTTGTAGGGTCTATTTTGACCTTTTTGTATGCTGTACTACCCTATGTCAGAGGAGTCACAGACAAGGTTGGCTACATCTTGAAGGGAGCTTCCATTAAAACATACTTCAAGCCGCTGAAGAAGATTGGTCAATTTTTACCATCCGTCAAGTGTCATATCCCTCTACAAGATGCAGGAGTGTACAAGCTGGATTGTGAATGTGGTCTCTCGTACATAGAACAAACAAAAAGATCTATTAAAATCCGCGTTAAAGAACATATAGCTGACGTGAAGCACCGACGTATCGGGAAGTCTGCAGTTTGTGAACATGTTCAAGATCGTCCCCGCCATTACATTAGATTTGATAGACCACAAATCCTCGCAAAAGAACACCGATTCCTCCCAGGGATGATTCGCGAGGCTATTGAAATTAAAAAAACATCCTAATTTCAATAGAGAAAATGGATGGGTGCTGCCATCTGCTTGGGATCCCATAATTAATAAAATCAAATCCAAACCCAAGTATACCACTGCTAGACTTCAAGATACTGTAAGCTCATTCTGCGTAGATCGGAACAAAAATTAATATTAAAAAACTGAAGGTAGCCGGGCTAACTATGACAGCAGGACATCAAACACCTCAGTCCCCCGTGACCACGGGTGCTGGAAAGCACCCGAAACGTCGGGAATATAAAAATAAGTTAATATACGCGATAAAATCCGTAAAATTAGTTTTATTTAAAAAAGGAGACGAGCAGCTGCTTCTACCTGATGAACAATGCAGAACTGTTGACAACTCGCCTGCCAAGATTGGCAACTATGGCAAATATTCCTTATGAGGCAATCTATGGGGGAGACCTATTTTCAATGGATGGATGTATAGAAGATAATCTACCAGGAGCACATGACTCACTGAGAATGGATTGTATAGAAGATAATCTACCAGGAGCACATGACCCACTGAGAGGTGAAATTATCAAATCAACAGTAACGTTACAACTATGTCAAATATCCTTTTTCTATGAGGCAATCTATGGGGGAGGCCTATGTTCAGCAGTGGACTTTAATAGGCTGTAGGATGGATGTATAGAAGATAATCTACCAGGAGCACATGATACACTGAGAGGTGAAATTATCAAATCAACA